TGACCGAATTTTCTGTAAAACAATTTGATCTTATGTATTGAGTCTTTTTTTTTTTTTAAGATTTTATATATCTTTTTAGAGCACAAGCAGGGAGGAGGGTCAGAGGGAGAGTGAGAAGCAGGCTCCACTCTCAGCAGGGAGCTTGACATGGGGCTCTATCCCAGGACCCTGAGATCATGACCTGAACCAAAGGCAGACGCTTAACCGACTGAGCCACCCAGGTGCCCTGAGAGTCTTAAAATGCTCAGGGTCTTTGAACCAACAACTTTATTTTTAGGAATAGTTTCTAAGGAAATAATCAGAAATGTGCACACAGTTTCATGCCCCAAAGATATTTATCATAGTGTAATTTATAATTGAAAACAACCTAAATATCCAGTTATAGTGAAAATGTTAATTTATGGTAAATCCATACAAAATTCAGGGCTCCCACATGCAGTCATTAGAAATAATTTTGTTACATAGAGCTACTCGTGAAATGATGGAAGGTGTAAAAGACAGAACACCAAATTGAATACACTCATATAAGATATATTAAAATTATATTAAAAGACCAATTAAAATTGGGAAAGTATAAATCATTTTTTGTTTTACTCTTTACACTTTTCTATATTTTGCATATTTCTGAAGCCCAATAAAGGGTGTTTTTTAAATTGCCTCTGGATTTCTGACTGATAGTGCTTTCTTTTTTTACTACAACTTCATACCATAATGAGTTCTCCTTTTTCTTTTTTTAAAACACTTCTTAAAAAAGATTTTATTTATTTATCTGAGAGAGAGAGAGCGCGCATGTGTGCGTGTGCACATGCACGAGCGGGGAGAGGGGCAAAGGGAGAGGGAGAGAGAACCTTAAGCAGACTCCATGCTTAACATGGAGCCCAGCATGTGGCTTGATCCCACAACCCCAAGATCATGACCTGAGCTGAAATCAAGAGTTGGATGATCAACCAACTGAGCCACCCAGGAGCCCCTCTTTTTTTTTTTTTTAAAGTACTTTTTTCCTATGGGTTAGACAACTCTCTTTTTTTTTAAGTAGGCTCCACCCCCAACATGGGGCTTGAACTCATGATCCTGAGATCAAGAGTTGCATGCTCTACCTTCTGAGCCAGCCAGGCGACCCCACAATGAGTTTTCTGGTGGTGCTCAAAGAACCGCAGCTTAGATAATAACTGACAAGTACATTTTACATATTAGATAATTACAAATTAAGTAAGTTTGTGCTTTAATATAAATTATCTTGGAGCATGATTGAGTTAATCGGTAGAGTTTACTATAAGACTGAAATAAATTTACAGCGTAGTCTCAACTAGTTTGATACTTTCAGCAGACACCACCCATATGGCAGCCTAGATGCTTTGTCAAAGATTCCTGTCTTCTGATGAATGGATAAAGAAGATGTGGTATATATACACAATGGAATATTATGCAGCCATCAAAAGGAATGAGATCTTGCCATTTGCAACGACGTGGATGGAACTGGAGGGTGTTATGCTGAGTGAAATAAGTCAATCAGAGAAAGACATGTATCACATGACCTCACTGATATGAGGAATTCTTAATCTCAGGAAACAAACTGAGGGTTACTGGAGTGGTTGGGGGGGGGAGGGATGGGATGGCTGGGTGATAGACATTGGGGAGGGTATGTGCTACGGTGAGCGCTGTGAATTGTGCAAGACTGTTGAATCACAGATCTGTACTTCTGAAACAAATAACGCAACATATTTTAAGAAAAAAAGGAAAAGAAGAAGATAACAGGAGAGGAAGAAAAGGGGAGTATGTCAGAGGGGGAGACGAACCATGAGAGATGATGGACTCTGAAAAACAAACTGAGGGTTCTAGAGGGTAGGGGGGTGGGGGGATGGGTTAGCCTGGTGATGGGTATTGAGGAGGGCGCGTTTTGCATGGTGCACTGGGTGTTATGAACAAACAATGAATCATGGAACACTGCATCAAAAACTAATGATGTAATATATGGTGATTAACATAACAATAAAAAATTAAAAAAAAAAAAGATTCCTGTCTTCTGCTAACTTTGTCTTGGGTCATATCTTGCAGCTCTATCTTTATCTTGCTCTTGGTCTTACCTGACTTTTGTATAGATTCTTCAACTCAAAGCAGGTTCTCAATCTCCCCTCTCGTCTAGATGTTTTAACAGTTCCCTGCTTCTCCAGTGTGTTCTCTTTGAGACGTGGTGGAATGTTAACTCACATGAAGCCCATGTAGAGATTTCCTCAGGCTCTGGGTTTTCTTGGACTCTCACTTGTTCCAGGTTTCTAGGGCTCCTACCTGGCATGGCACTTCCAATAGGCCAGTAAGGCACATGCATTCCTTTATTGGCCTTCTTTTCTTTCCCTCTCTCAGCTTGCTGTCCAAGAACAGACTCCTTGGCCAGTGAAGTTGCCTGGGCCAGCTTCCCATCTTGACATCTGGCACCCTCCTGTGGCCATGGATGGGTGTGCCTGGGCCAGCAGTGAATTTCAGAGCTAGGTCCTCCAGAGCATCCCCCGGGCTTGTTGGTGCCCATCAGTGACAGTTAAAAGGAGCTGGGCAACCTTTACTTCTGCCTGGTTCCCTGCAATTCACCTTCTGCAACTTGCCTACAGAGAAATTCACCAAAGGCCCCACCTTCCTTTTTGCTATAAATGTATCTGTATCAAGATACTCTTAAGATCTACATTCTCAAAGGAAAAGCCTTTTCTGGTTTTGCACCTGGCAGGGAAGTAGTAAGTACTAACTTAAATTAGTGCCAGATGCTGAGCTAATGCTTTATACCCATTATCACATTCAATCTTCACAACAATGCTGGGAGATAGTCACCTATCTTTAATCTCCATTTTACAGAGGAGGAAATAGAGGCTTAGATGGGTTACATAGAAGTCAAGGGTAAACTTAAAAAACAAGATCTCCCTGCTAGTTGATGGCTAAGTTTGGATTCAAAAACAGCCATGTGACTTGGGGCCCATATTTCCTAATCACTAGGCCATACAGTCAGTGTAGAAAATTGGGATGCTCAGAGCCCATGTTTTCTATAATGCAAACAAAGATAGTCTGTAACAAGAAGAAAGTATAAAAAAATAGAAAGAAACTGAGAATAGAGGTAGAGGAAGGGTCCTAACAGGGCTTGAGATCTGGGTTCCAGTTGTTTCTGAAGCTCAGGAACATCCATGACCTTTTCCAAACCTGCTTGTTTCATCAGATACTTAAGTCCTTCCAATAAATTCCCCCTTCTAGTTCCGTTTGATATGCTTTCTGCCACTCACAAAGCAGAAGTTCTTCTAAAACAGGAAACTGAAGACAGTCTAGGTATTAATACTCAGAGCAGCATTAGTGATAAATGATCTCATCCATGCCAGGTTCTTTTGATTGCAAGAAACAAAGATTGAGTCAATTTACTAGAGCCAAGTTACTCATTACTAAGAGACAAATCAAAAGAAGGGTTTATAGAAAAAAAAAAAAACATACGTGCACTAAAACCCGAGAAACTGAACCACAAGCCCTCAGGAAGAGTTGAAACTGCATCAGTAGCACTCAGGAATAGCCACCCCCTCACCTCTCAGGGCTTTTTGGCTTCTCAGTGAATCAGCACCACTCTCTCTCTGCACCAGCCTTCTCAAATTACTCATCTTACAACTGGCTGCAAAAGTTAGCACTCTAGCTCCTGTACTTCTATGGCCCTCCAGTTCCAGCACATACCAAACTGTAGCGCCCCTTTGTGTCTCTTATTGCAGGTTTCCAAGAGAGAAGATTTGACTTCTGCTTTTCTTTTTAGACCAAAGTACAAAGGCATAAGTCATGGGTTATAGTTTATGATCAGGTGTCCAGTTACCTGTGGTCATGGTCATGTGGCCTGCTGCCCACTCAGTATGGTCAATGGGTAGGGATTTTACTAGAAAGGGATGTGAGCAGGCCAGTAATAACTGGCATCTCTAACCAAGCCTACTTAAATGTAATTTGAACTCTTGCCAGTAAAAAAAAAAATTAAACACGATGCAAAGACCCATTCCCTAAAGACCCTCTCTAATTATCTCAAGTTGGCAAGAGAGTTCACCTTATGGTGTTCGTAGGCTTGTGTGTTATCCTCTCCCTCAAAGTGCACCTTCTTCAAGTTCCCAATCCCACCTGCACCTGCCCTAAACACTCTGCACTGAGCTAGACCTACTCCACTCACTTGGGAGTCTATTAATTTTTTTCTCCCCTTAACCACACTAAAGACTTTGCTTAGTAAAGCATTTTGAAGATTTAGAAAGTGACTGTTCAGTCTGCTTAGGATTTATATACCAAACAGATGTGCCAAGAAGTCATAGGAATCAAACTGCTGTTCTGTGAGTAGAATAATATATTAACTTGCCTTTTAGCAGTTTCGATTACACAGCTGTACAAATTGCAATGGAGTGTTCATAGCTAAAGTTGCTTTTAGCAAAAGCACATCACTTCTTCAGGATGGAAGTTTTAACATAGCAGGCATCTTGAGGGGCATGCATCCTTGTAAAATACTTCTCATTATTTGAGAGAAAATCATCCAGGAAATTGAGATATGGTAGTACTTAACTTACCTTGAGAAATACTCTGCTTTTCATCATAATAGCTGCACTGGATATTATTTTATGATGAAACTAAGGAGCTCCTAAATAATGGTACCATCATCTTACACTTTTAGTCTTTCTGAGCCTCAGTATTCTCAACTGTTAAATCACGATATCAGTACCCATCTTATAAGGTTATTGTAAGGAGACAATGGAAGCTTTATAAAGAGCTAACAAGCTGCCAAATGGTCAATAAATGTTACTTACCATAATTATTACATTTTGTTTCTCACCTTAGCAAATTAAAATATTTTTTAGCACAGTTTCTCATTTTATCCTTTCAACCTATGGGTAGGTATGGTGCTGAGTATATCCCCATTTCATAGTACAATTAAAGAAACAGTAAATAATTTAGGGTAAGTAATTTTTTCTAAGATAACACAGACAATAATTCACATCTTTGACTTTTTTTTTCCATGTCAGACGGGTCATGCATGGAGGTTATAACAAGGTTTGAGGGAGCCACATGTCACACAATGGTGTGAACACCCAATCATCAAGCTTATGAACTGCAAAAAGATCCCACATCTGTGACTTCTAATTGAATGTTCCTTCTGCACAGAACTTAAGTTCTGTGACAGGGACTTTAGTGAAAGGAGAAGGCAAATATTATACTAAAGGAAGAATCCTCCACAACTTTCATCCAAGAATTGTTACTTGGCTAGAAATGTGTAAACCTCTACTTCTGGCAGCCCAGAAAGCTAGATAACCTGAGGGCCCATTAGCTATGAGACCATTAAATCCTGATTTGAATCAAAATTAATATGCACTTACAATTGCTGGATTTTGATGAAAGGGGTAAAAAAAAAAAAAGCGAGCTCAAACAAGATCAGGGAGCAATAAGCAAACATAAAAGCCAGAGTTGTCATGGGCAAGTGCCACTACCAGTCAAGGACAAGGAGACTGAGCTTGGAGGCACACTGCAAGGTGTGGAAATCACATCTGAGATTCCTTCCTGCTTTGAGCCTGGTTCTGCAAGAGGAACTTCAGAGACACCTGATCAGTTGCATCTCAGATCTCCTCTTAGAATCAAATGCAAGTACTCTCTAGAGGAAAGCAACTCCCAATTTGGTCTCTGGGATTTCCATAAATTAAGTTCAAGAAAATATAAGCTCACAATTTAATATAAGCTCAACACATAAACCACCATGAGTTAAGATCAACAGAAAGAACAAACAATAATTTGTAAGAACTGAAGAACTGGAATTGGAATTGTCATTTACAGATTATTAAATAACCTTTTATGAACCATTTAAAGAAATCAAACATGAAATGAAATAGATTTAGAAACAAGAGACCAGAAATATTACTAAACCAACTGAATATTAACTTTGGCCTAATAGCTATAGATTTTGAAATTAACAACTCAGTAAATCTGTTAAAAACAATAAAAACAGTTAAAGACAGGTTTAGTGCCCTGGAGGTTATATCCAAAGAAATTACCCAGAGTGCAGCATAGAGTACAGCAGATGGAAAACATGAAAGAAAGGTTAAAAGACATGGAGGGTAAAACAAGGCTTAACATGTCTAATCAGAATTCTAGAAGTAAGGAATAGAGAGAACAGGAGAAAGCCAATATTGAAAAAGCTAATGGCCAAGAATTTTCCTAAACTGACTAAAGATAACTCCACAGATAGAGAAAGCACAGCATATTTCAAGCATGATAAATAAAGAAAAATCCACACCAAGACATATTGTGATGAAATGGCACAATACCAATGATGAAGACCTTAAAAATCCCAGAGAAAAAAGCCAGGGCACCTACAAAGAAAAAACAATAAGCTACCAGAAGACCTTTTTTAAAAAAAGGAATATAACAATAATTTATTAGTGCTCACAACAATGCTTGGTAGTAGTTACTGTTATTATTTCTATTTTAATGTAAGGAAATTCTGGCTGAGAGGGAAAGCCCAAGGTCCTACAGATACACAGCAACAAGGATATAGCTTAGAAATGCAAGAATGAGTAGAAAAGTAGGTCATAAAACACTGCTTCAGCCATATGCAACAACATATGAATCTTAGGACATAATCTTAGGATGAATCTTAAAAACATAACACTGAGTGAAAAAAGCAGGTGGCAGAAAACTATATACAGAATACCATTTTTATAAAGTTCACAAACAAAACTAAATAATATATTGCTTAGAAATACTTACATGCATGATTAAATCATCTTAAAAACAAGAGAATGTTATAAACTGAATGTTTGTGTCCCCCCCCAAAATTCACATGTCGAAACCTAATGCCCAACGAGATGATATTTAGGCGGTGGGGCCTTTGGGAAGTGATTAGATCATGAGGCCAGAACCCTCATGAATGGGATTGGTACCCTTATAAAAAAAGCAAACAGGGCTCCCTAGTAGTTCCTTCCACCATGTGAGATTACTGTGAAGAAATGGCCACATATGAACTAGGAAGCGGGCTCTCATCAGATGTGGAAATTGACCATGCCAGCACCCTGAATTTGGACTTCCAGCCTCCATTAATGTGGGAAATAAATTGCTGTTGTTTATAAGCCCTCGCCTGTGGTACTTTGTTATGGCAGCCTGAACAGACTACAACAGGAAAATACACAAAATTCCAGATAGTAGCTACCTCTTCAGAGATGTGGCAGAAGAATTGAACAAGGAGAAGCACATGCTGCAAAAAAGCAAAGGTAACACTCTAATTCTTAGACTGGTGGTAGGTAACAAGTATTCATTTCATCACTGTATTAACACATGTGACTTCTATTCTTTTGCATGCATCAAATGTTACACAATAAAAATAAAATAAAATTGCCAAAAGACTAATTTTTAACTGGGTTTTCACAATGTATGTTTAAAAACCACTGGTTAATCCTTCTGGCTAATGGTTGAGGGATATAATCAGCTTCTAGAGTTTAACTGCCAAATTTTTGTAGTGAATCACAAAAAGGCTTCCTACATAATTAATGGAAGACAATGATGGAAGTCATTCCTGGCTGGGGATTTTAAATTCCTGGTCTTCTATTTTCTCTCTCACACAGCTCTAATAAGAGGTGTGCTATTTACATCATTTGTATGGCTGTCTTTAACCTTATATTCTAGATAGTAAAGAACAATTTCAACCTAAGAAAAATATGCTTATAGGATAACTACATTAGAAAAAAACATTTTATTTTGTGTTTGATGTCATATAATTAAGTTGGTAAGAAATGAAAACTTTGATGTCCTTTTTTTGGGTAGTGGGATTATAAAATAAATTCACTTTCTCATATCCAAAATGTTATGAACCAATTTGCTCAATTTTATTTTTTTTAAAGATTTATTTATTTGAGAGAGAGGGCACTCTCTCAAAGTTGGGGGGGGAGCAGAGGGAGAGAGAGTCTTAAGCATGGAGCCCAACTCAGGGCTCGATCTCACAACCCTGAGATCATGACCTGAGCTGAAATCAAGAGTCAGACGCTTAAGTGACTGCACCACCCAGGCGCCCCAATTTAAAATGCTTTATCCTATTCTCTGTATTTCCTGCTTACCTTAGTAGTTTGTAATTATCATTAAAGCATCTTTGAGTTGGGTGAGTTAGCTGGCAAAAAATCGAGTTTTACTTGTTTTTGATGGTTGTGTGTGTTTAATGCCCTAAGAGAGGTCTATATAATCTTCTCCTAATCAAAGTCCATAAACTTGATCTTACCTCAAGAATTTCCCCCCCAATTCTTAATCTCAGGGAAACAAACTGAGGGTTGCTGGAGTGGTGGGGTGTGGGAGGGATGGGGTGACTGGCTGATAGACATTGGGGAGGGTATGTGCTATGGTGAGCGCTGTGAATTGTGCAAGACTGTTGAATCACAGATCTGTACCTCTGAAACAAATAATGCAATATATGTTAAGAAAAAAAAAAAGAAGATAGCAGGAAGGGAAGAATGAAGGGGGGGAAATTGGAGGGGGAGACGAACCATGAGAGACGATGGACTCTGAGAAACAAACTGAGGG